ATTTCATGTTTATATAGTAATATGTTTTCTCTATTTCAATTGGCCACATATAAATATTAAATTAGCATTTTTTTTTCCTTTACTGAATAACTCATTCATTAGTTAGAATAAAATTTTCAATTTTACATAATATATTTGAATCATACTGCCTATGTATTATATACACTTTAAATTTAAACAATTTATTCAATACACATATTTTACAACTCAAAATTAAATATATTATACCGTTGTACAAAGTGCGGGAAACCGCCTAATATATATATAACTTTGAAGCAAAAAATATTTCAAAAATGCTGATCTGACACTCTATTCTTCGAGCATTCCTATTTTTCTTTTTCTATAGATTTTTGAAATTTTTTCTATCATTTTTACAATTTGACTGGACATTAAAATATTTTTTACATTCAAAAATTAATATTTTATAATATTAATCAATACTTTTGAAATTTAATCTTATCTATTTAAAACTATTTTTTCTTTTTTTTACTATCATTTTTATAAATATTGGTCACTAAAATATTTTTTAAATTTTGAAACTAAACTATTTTTAAATTTGAAAGTTAATATTTTTTTTTGTATTAATCAATACTTTTCCAATTTAGTTTTTATTTATTTAAAACTATCTAGCTATATATATTCTCCTTGGTTGAGTCTGAATTCTCTGTATATATTTTTTTCTTTCACAATAGTTTCGTCTTATTTTTTTGTTATTTCTTTCAATTCACTTATCATTATATGTATTCAATTGTTCATTGAATTTTTCTTTTTTCATATTTGAAGATAGTTGCTACAACATCCATATACTCTAAGGCTACATATGATGAAACGTGAAGAATGGTGATGTTGGGTTCATGAAAATGATTTCAATCAAGTCCATGGTGGTAGAAACCTTCTCCGAGTATACTCCATTGGGTTTGATTTTTTATTAGGGACATGCATCATACTATTGTTGTTGGTTTTATTACGAAGCTAAGGTGATCATGTTTATTGCCAACAAGGGAGGAAAATGAATTGTGCGGTTCATAATTTATACTGAGATTTTTTTTTTTTTTTTTTTTTTTTTTTTTTTTTTTTTTTTTTTTTTTACTTTGTAATTTGCGGAAAGGTTTTTAATGGATAAAATGACAAATAGAGGCTTCAACAAAGATGAGTAACTTATCTATACTGCTTAACATTTTTTTTTTCTTTTAAAAGGATGCTTAATTATGTTTTTTTTTTTTTTTTTTTTTTTTTTTTTTTTTTTTTTTTTTTACTTTTGTAATTTGGTGAAATGTTTTTAATGGATAAATGACAAATAGAGGCTCAAACAAAGATGAGTACTTATCTATATGTACATTTTTTTTTTCTTTTAAAAGGATGCTTAATTATGGATTGATTTTTTTTTTTTTTAACAAATGATATGCTACTACCTAAGAATATGTTCTCTTGCTTTTACATCTTGTCAAGGGGATAGTTTTATTCGATTATAATTTTGAATTTTGAATTGTCATTAATTGGAATACTCATTTATCAATGTGATCAGGGTATAGTTTCAATGTAGCCTCGTTTTTTTAACTGTGATCTTCATTTTAGTTTTGTGTAATGATAACTTAGTTTGTATGTATTTATTTTAACTTTGAAGTGGATCGTAAAAAATTGCTCATGCAATGAGCTGGCTCTCATCTAGTTATTTCACAAAATCATTGGCTCATTCTTGAAATTTCACCATGTTAAAATATTTGATTCCTCTCTCCAACATTATCATTGTTGTTGAATATGAGGAATATATATATATATATATAAATCTGAAACAAAAAAAGTCTTAAAAATGCTGACTTTGGCTCTACTTTTTCAGCATTTGTATTTTTCTTTTTTTACAAATTTTCTACATTTTTAATGTATTTCTTTTTTTTTTTTTTCAGTTTTACAATTTACGAATTATTTATTTTAAATTACTTATGATTTTAGAAATCTTAGTTTGCTATTTTGTTCTAATTATCTATATGTTAAATAAACATATAAATAGTAATCTCTATTCTCTAATCTCTCATCTTCTATTGAAACTCCTTCATTGGAAGTTAAAGATCTCTCTCCACTTTTTCGTCTTTTGAAGGTCTTCCTCTCTTGGTAATTTTCAATATCCTATTTAGCGTTGATTAAATAGATATTTCTTACTGTGGTTTTTGTGTTTTTTTTTTATTATTATTTTTATTGATGATTAATGTTGATCATGTAGTAAATAAAGAAGAAGCAGATAATTTCACTTGCTAGCCAACGAAAAATTTCCTTTGAAAAATAATCATTAAGGTTTCTTTTTTGTTTTTATTTTTTTCTTAAGCATGATTGGTATTGCTGTGTCAATCCAAAATGCAGGGATATGAAACTGTGGTAGGGGAGCGAGGATTACAATTTTCTGGGGGGACAGAAGCAAAGAGTAGCGAGCCATAGCTTACACCATAATGAAAATTCTAAAGATAATACTGTTAAATGAGGCTACAAGTACATTAGATGCAGAATTTCAGAGAGTAATAAAAAATAAATGTTGTATCAAGTTAGAAAAATAGATCAACTAAATATATTTTAGCGCTATTGTACTGTACACTGCATTTATTGGATTAAATTGATAAGGTTTTTTTGTCATTTGTTCTACTTCTATTTATATTTGAATTTCTTTTTTTTTTTTATTGAAAATTTATTTTATTGACTTGACCTTTATATTTTTATAGCAAAAATAAAGTGACATTAATAAAGTTATTTAAACATTAAAAACTATTTTTTTATGTATTAATTAAAGAATAGGAATAGTAATCTGATAAAATTTTTAGATTAAATTTATAGGTTATTTTTTCATGTATTGAACAGCCATAATGAAAAGTACTGTATATAATATTTATCTTTTAAAAATTTTTCATTTTTTGTTTCCTTTATCTATATTTCTATTTCATTTTTCAAAATTTTCTATGTCTCTTTAGTTTTTATTAGAAATTTTAGATTTCTTCAAGATAATTAGGCTTTGAAAAACTTTAAATTGTTAATTATCTATGTCTCTCTACTTAACTCTATTTTTAAAGTCATTTAAGTTATAATTATTTAAAATAAATTAATGGCATGACAATTTCTATAACACTAGATTTATTAAAATTTCTATAACACGCTAATTTAATAAAGTAACCCACAGGAAAAATAAATATTTTATGTATTCATATATTAAATACAATTTATAAAATAAAATATTGAACAATAAAGTAATTTGCTAGAAAAATATAATTTTAATACGTATTTATGAATTATAAACTATCAAAGTAATCCGCGCAAAGTGCGGACTTTCACCTAGATGAATAATAACACTACGTTAAATATAAATAATCAAATAATTAAATATTAAATAATATTCAATGCAAACAAAAAATGGAACAACATTCTTTGAACAAAAATGACTAAATAATTTAACGATGTTCAATGATTTTACAAACAATAGGAATATAATAATAATTTCAACCAAATTTTCAGACTAAATAGTTAATTAACCATTTAAAAAGATTGAAATTTTTTCTTAATAGGTTATTTTTGTTTTAATTTTGATCAAATAGTCATAATTATAACTAATAGAATTGACTAATTTTTTAACAAATAAAAAATAATTGTTTATATTCTTTCAAATAATAAAATTAAAATTACAAGAGATAATATCAAATCTCTCTACTTGAAGATGATCCCAATAAGAAACTAAATCTTCACAATGACAATTGATCTTTCATTGAACCACAAAATAGCTTCACTGTATATTTACTTTTCTAATAATTTGATGCATATGATTTTTACGTATGAGTTCCACCACTATGCTTTAACAAATATCAATGGAAAATAGCCCGCACTAGGAGGTTCTATTGGTCGAAGATCTACATCTACAAATTAAGATTTAAATTATCCGATCAAATAAACTCGAATACTAAACTTTTATTTAGTAATAAACTCTCACAAGGAATGAATCAAACCCTTCCAAAAAGAAGCAAAATAATTTTAAATATGTGCATAAAGCAACAATAACAAAAAAAAGCATTTTAGGATACCTGCCCGGTTTTGATCCATTTAATAAGGGTATTAAACGGGTTTGGATGAATATGGTTAATGAAATTACTATCAAGCAATGATTACAGATAGGGTATGGGTACTTGCAGATGCCTTACCTATTTATTAGTGAAATGTGTATTTTAAATAAGTTTAGGTCAGATAGTTTAAAATTTATAGATACTGTATCCGTATAATAGGCACTGTAAACAAGTTTAGAATGTGCATGAATGGTAAAATTTTAAGCAGATTCAGATATTAAACAGGTGCAGATAATAAAATTTTAAATGTATTTAAATACGGGTGTTTAAATGGAAAATGATAGTAAAATTTTAAATAGAAATGATATGGATAGCTCAAAATTTGCGAATACCCGTCCAATTTCTATCCCTAGTTGTAATACGTCAAAAATCTGCAGAATCTTTGTGGTAGCATGGGAGTTGTGGTTTCATAGGAATCAATTGGTTTGGAATAGAAATCGACTTCTCCGAGAATTCTGGTTCAACGGGTTGATGATTTATATCAACAGTGGTTCCAAGCTCAATATGTTTGTAAGCTTAGTGATATGGTTCAAACTGCACAGTTTGTGCTTAATGGTGTAGGCCTTCTAATGATGCTTTGAAACTCAACGTTGATGCAGCTTGGTGCGAGGACACTATGGAGGCTGGAGTTTGGCTGGTCGGTTCATAACAATCATGGTGAGTGTGCGAGTGGTGAAACGATGCATGCCTTAGTTGGTTGAAAGGCTGCTACTGCTCTTAGGAGAAATGATGCGGATAACTCTTATATGGGTCTTCTTTTATAAGATTGTTGCGTAGCTAATAGAGCATTTGTTTCTATGTCTGATTCATTGGAGCGGATCTTGTCCCTCCATCTATTATTTATGATGTTAAGCATTTTCTATTGTAAAAAAAAATAATAATAATAATTTATCCCAATTTAAATATTTGCTATGATATTAACAACATTAACATGTAATCAAAATCTACATAAAATCTTTCTTCAAACAAAAAAAATTATATAAAATCTTACATTCGAAACTCTTTTGCGTGTGCACATATCAAATTAGCTAATTGCTATAAATTTTCCCAAACATATTTACTCGATGGATGGTGGCAGACAACCACTATCGACAAATGCTAAACCTATATATACACAAAAACACAACCATCCATGCCTTCTTTGTCATGAACTTGGATAAAATTCTAAAAATTCGTCGAGGGACTAGACTTTTTATCTGCAAAAATCTCGGCATAAACTTTCTTCGTTCTAATCGTCAACAGCACATCAAGCCCAAACCCAATAACAGAGGCAAGAGCCATAATAAGAAAGATGAGGAAATAACAGTGAGGTCCAACGCAAATATTGCCACCATCAGCAGTATTAGTTGCTTGAGCATCATAAAGATAACCAGCAAGCAGACCAGAAAAGAGGAAGGAGCCCAGAGGAAGATTGAGAATTAGAATATTATATAATAAGCCATAGTATTTAAGACCAAATAGTTCTGATGCTACTGAGACAGTTATAGTCAGACGAACTCCATAGCATATACCAACTAGAATTGAACCAATGTAAAGTGATCCTGGAAATGCTATTGCCATCACTATAAATCCAATAGTCATCAGAATTTGAGACATTGCATTCCATAGAGGCCTTGGTGTCCCAAATTTCCTGCAAATAGCATATAATACATGAGCTTGATTAAACTTTTTATTATGTGAAAGTTTGAGACTCAAAATTAAGATGGCCGAAGAAACATTGGACTGCAAAAATGGTACTTTTCCTTACTTGGAAACAGGCATTACAGGTTCCAGTCCAATCTTTCTAGTGGAAGAACTAGAATTTGTCTGGCTGAATAGTCCGATTTGAAGCCTTTATAATTTTTTTTTTAGTGAAATGGCCCTTTCCAGTTCCATTTTTTCAGGGTTAATTCCAGTCATATTTCAGGCGGAACTGACTGGTGACCATACTGACTTGAAATAATGTTATTTAACTCGGTTTTTGTACGGTAGAAAAATGATTTCAATACCATGTATGAAAGTTAATTAAAAGAAGAGATCAAGAAAAAATAAAAAGAGGGAGAAATCAACTCACGAGAGATAATATTCTGATGCCAGACCAGATAGAATACGTCCAAAGAATCCCCAAATGCTAATAAGTGAGACAAAAATGGATACATCAACAAACCCAAGAGCCAGCCCCATCTGCCCCATATTGTTCATCACACACATTCCAGTACCCACACCGCAAAGAAATGACAGGAAAAGAATCCAAAACTCAAATGTTCTCATCATTTCAAGAATCGTATGATCGTCCCCAATCAATGGCTGTTGATTATTTATCCCAACATTCTCTATTGTCTCTACCTTATGATGTAAATCTTTTTGACCAACAAGCAATGTTTCCTTTATTTGTTGCTCAAAATCTGAAATATTGGTGTTTTTCTTTAACAGAAGAGAGTATAAAGGAATAAGTAGCGGAGTAGCTAGTAAGAACATAAGTCCTACTGCAAATGCAACAGAAAGAATATGACCATGACTTCCAGTAATGTCAAAAGCCAAGAGATAAACTGCAACTATAACGGCAGTGACATTAAGGGCATTGAAAAATTGTGTTTCTTGTTTTTCTTCTGTTGGAGTAGAGGAAGGCGGGGTTTCGCAGAGGAAGAGAATAGCAGTAAAGCAAATAACAGCAGGAACAATAGCAAGAATAAGTAGAAATGTAGATGGGTTAGAAGAAAAAAGAGCAGTGCAAATATCAGTAAAGATTGCTGTACTTAATCCTACATAACCTTTAAGGATTCCAGATACTGGACCGCGATTTTTAGGAAAGTTTCGCATACAAGTCACTAAAACTGCTGTGTTCATCCATGTTGTGCTATTTCCTCCCATACCCAGAAATATACACATCTGTATCAAGAAACAAAGAACTATTAATTTGGTCATAATAATTTATGAGGAATGAAACTTTACTAGAAAAGATTTGGATTTACCTGCCAGTAAGGAAGAGGATGGATTCTCTGGCTAACAACAAGCCATTGAACTCCATATCCAATAAGTCCTTCAATTGATCCAATAGTGAGTATGACCGAAGTTGACCATCTATCCGAAGCAAGGCCAGAAAGAAGACCAAATGCCTTGCCAACATCTTTAGCAACAGAAAGAGTATTGAGTTGTAACTGAGTAAGAGCCATTAGAGATTTTAATGCATCAGAATAATTGGAAAATGTGTAATTGTTACCACATATTGCCTGAACCCATATGGCAGTAACAAATCCTAACCATTTTCCAGAAGGAGATAACGATAGACTCATAATGAAAGAGAATTCTGAAGTGTTTTTGCTTTGTGTTTCAGACTTTAAGCTTTAAAAGTTATATATTTATACTCTTTGTTTTACTCCATTAATGTTTTTGAATTCATTTAATTATTAATTTATTGCTAAGAGCAAGAACTTGTTTAGAAAGTGGTTTTAGAATTCAGGAAATGGTGTCACAAAATACCAGAACCTTGGTAGGGACAACTTGACATGAATATATATATATATAGATGGAATCAACAGTTATATATCGCTCCTATTTGTAGGACACTGAATAAAATAAAGGGACCACAGCTACCTTAACTGTGTCTGAGCAAGATAAAGGATAAGGAGAAAAAAATTATATATCTAATCTGACATGTCAAAATCCATGCAAGAAAAAAGAAGTGAAGTCTACATGCCAAGTTCTGAATACAACTCCCAAACCAGGAGCCCACTGCCTTTACTTTCCACATAGGCGCCCACCAGTTTATGCAACTTCATATAGGACAAAATTAACTAGGAATCCATTCTATGGATTTTTTTTTTTTATACCAGACAAGTTGTTAACAAAAAATGAGTGAAATCAAAAATCCTACTGCCAAATACGAGTTCACTTGAGTTAGAGTAGAGTCTTTTCCTCTACATTTACAGTTCATAAAAATTACAAGAATAACATACATTGCTATCAATGAATACATTTACATTAAATAGTTCAGTTTATTTTTCTTAATTATAAATTTAAACAGAATGCAGGCAGGCAAAATAAAGCGAACAATTGAAAATAAAACATTTTATAGTACAATAATTGTTTTACTCTTTTTCTCAGAGGACAGGGCAACCTTTCACTACAACCCCAGGAGCAGTTGGGCAAGAAGCTAATGGACAACCATCTGAATCATTTCCCCACCAATCAAGACTAACTTGTTGCATTCCTAAACACAAGTATAAAAGTACTGCCATAAAAGCCAACCCAGCATGAAGAGCTGCAGACAAAACATAGTTGTGGCGTCTCCACCAATTATTATAGTATCTAAAAGCAATAAAGCCTGAACAAAAACCAATAAGAATCCAAGTAATGTAGTTAACAGCAGTAGCTGGTGGCATCTGTAATGTAGCACCTAAGACTACTGGCATGGAAATTAATTTAATCCAATGCTGGTGAGGGAAGGCCTTGTGTGCAAACCAAACTAGGATAGGTGCTATAGCACCAGCCAAGAAAAACCAGTTGATTGCAGAGTAATGGCCAAGATCTCCAAAAATTCTGCGGGGACCAATAAGACCCCAGATGACAGAAGCATCATAGAAAACATGATCACCTGGGCAAGTCCATGGGCTTCCTGATGGAAGCAATTCACGGTCACATATATTGGGGATAGTTCCCATTAGCCACCATGCTGTTACTAGATGTACAATTGCTGCTATTATAGTGCCAACCACCTGACGAAGGAATGAAAGGGGTATGTGACAAATGTCAGTAGTATTAAAATCACATCTAAGACAAAAATGTTTCAAGTTTGAACTCTAGTTTGTCCCAAGTTAACCAAATAAAAAAGAGGCAAAATACTGGGACCCTTGATGTTTGGCATATTAATACTTTAATCATACTTCTTAAAAAACAGATGTGTGCCTAAGTAGTAATTGCTTTGCTATTTAGAAACTTCATCAAAAGGGTAAAAAAAATATCTAGAACACTAGTTTTACCTGGGCCATAAACATGTCCCTAGGAGGAATCTTCATGTAATGTCCAAGCTTGAAATCTTGCAAAAAAGTAATCCCTTGTTTCATGCTGATGAAACCATAAACCTTGAAGCATATATTTGCAACAGGAAATCCAGGGTACAAATATCCAATAATATACTCAGTTATAACATTTAAGCCTAGTGTCTGTTTACCAAAGAAAAGATCGTGTTAGAATGCTAAAAATCTTCACAATAGCACAAGAAAACATATAGCATAATTACACAAGATTATTTTTAATACACTTTTAAAACAATCATTTCTAAAAGGCCTAACGACTAACAGTCTTTTAACAAGAGCTTTTTGAAAAATTGCAAAGATTATTTATGATAGGAAGATGGCTATCCCAAGACCATTTTTGGTTTATTCCAGGAGAGCAAAGAGTGGAACTAAAGTGCAGGGGATTGATCAAGCAACTGGGAATGAGGACAAGAGAGGCTTGGAGAGGAAGTTTTGAGAAGCACACATGGCAGCCAGAGGTTTAGCAAAGAATAACGGAATGTTTGTATATATGGCAGGGGTGAGAGTGTGTGAAGATCAGCTTTGGGAATATTTGTCTTTTTGGGCAGTATTGTAACTTTCATGTGACCCATCGGAAGGACATTCAGGACCCTACCGGACCTATCGGCGCATTGCTTCTAATTTTTACTAGAAGGGATGATGGGCATATTCAGCAATATGTATACTCTTGCCTCATTTGCCAACGCAACAAGTATGAAGCTCAATCTACAGCAAGTTACTACTGCCTTTGCCTATTCCTCAGGCCACTTGGGAAGTTATCTCTATTGACTTCATTACTAGGTTTCCTCACTTACAAGGTGTGGACTGCATCTCTTTCATCAATTTGATCTTGAGATTTATTAATTTACAATTGTTATTGTTCTAGCATACCTGGTTTTACCATACCTGATTTGTTGTAGCAGCGATGATCCCAATAGGGAGGGTGAAAAAGAAAGCAAGACCACAAGCTAGCAGGACACCCCACCACGGTAATTGGAGTTGATCATTGTAGTACTCACATATAAATATAGTTGCAGCTATGTTGAAGAGAAGAATGGACAAAAACCACCATTCAGGAACTTGCTTATAGGGAGGGTGGAAAAAAGAAAGGCAAAGACCACAAGCTAGCAGGACACCCACCACTGGTAATTGGAGTTGATCATTGTACGGTAATTGGAGTTGATCATTGTAGTACTCACATATAAATATAGTTGCAGCTATGTTGAAGAGAAGAATGGACAAAAACCACCATTCAGGAACTTGCTTATATTTTCTCATGAGTCTTGTATGCACATCCATTTTCTTCTCTTGGAACGCAGACTTGCTTAGCTGCCATATACTTCTACAACATTGAAAATTGGGAAATGTCAGGTACAGGCTATAGCACCGTTTGGATAACTCATGCATGTAATTACAGAATGTGGAATTAGATATACAGAAATTTAATAAATCTTTTAGTAGTTAAAACAAATTTTGACAATGTGATTATAGAGAAGATTTGAAAGTGGATTTGCAGAAATTAAAAGTGCAGTTATAAAAAGTGAATAAATAGAAATAAAAAATAAAATCGATTCTGTAAATAGAAATTAATGTGAGCCTAACACGCTCTTAAAAAAGTAATAAAGAAACATTAGTGAGACCTTGATTTGAAGAGCATAATCTTCTTGTGCAGGTGTAAAACCATGAGCATGTATTTCTCTTGGCTTACCTTCCATGAAAGAGGAAGACATGAACAATAACTGCAGCCAGGGTAGCAAAATTCAAACCATAAATCATTGCAAAGTTGGTGCTGAGATAGAGAGGACCTTCACGTTCATATGCATCCATGTCAATGTGGAATTTGGGGTCAATAATAGCTGAAATAATGTATTTTTGGCCATTAGAAGTGAATAAGCCATCAGAAAATATAGGAAAAGTCTTGGCTTTGTAGACGTTAAGCCAATATGCAATTGGGGTAATGACATACATAATTAGAGCAAAACCACAAGCTAAATTGGCTGTTGCAAACCATGGACTAGCCATTGGACTGCCTAGGTAAGAGGATATACTAGCCCAGTCAAATCCAATACTGCCAATTCCAAGACCATGCAACCCTGAGCCAAGCTGATGAGCAAGGATTGAAGTAGGGAATATCCAGCAAATCCAAGACAGAGAGGATAACTTTGGAAAGAGGTAGCCTGGAAAGACGTAATAAGCAAAGCTGCAAATGAGAGCAATTATGAAGAATTGATTCCTTGTTAATCCTCCTTTGGGCCTCTCCTCTTTCTCATGTAGTGCCCTGTAGTTTTTTTATGTTTGTTATATGTGATGCCTCCATATATAATATACAACAATATGGAAATGTTTTAACTTGATATCAGAATTCCATATCTTGACTATATAACAAGAACATTTTTCTATTAATTTCAGCCTTAATAACTGCTATTAAACAAATCTACTTACCACAGGAATTAAAGACATTCAGAATTTTTGGTTAATGATGCAATGGATAAAATTAACAATGTAATGGGATTTAGAAAATAAAAATTCAGTAGAAAAAATTTATATTATTATAATTGTATAAACTAAAATGTAAAAAAATCAGTGAGGTAGTTACCCCACTGTAGATTCGTCTCTGTCTTTATACAATTCATATACTATCCTTGCATTTTTTTTTTTTTTTTTTTTTTTTTTTTTTCATTATGGCCATTTATTTCCTTGAATTTTTTTTTTTTTTTTTCATTATGCCATTTATTTTTTTTGTAAATTAGAAAATTTTCAAAAGGAAGAGGCCATCAAGGTTACTCTCGGCTACAATATCTTAATTATCATAAAAATAATTTACTGAGTAAGGTGTTGCAACTTCCAGCCATGACCAGCTTTTAAATTTTCAGAACAAAATCTGGGAATTGAGTTAAGGTCCTAGCCCAAAAGCATTAACTCCCAAGTCCTAATTTGGGCCTAGCCCTGAGTTGAGTGTTGAGCTAGTCCAGAAGTTTTTATTTATTTATTTTTATTAAGAATTACTTATTTACAGAAGTATGTATATGTTGTACTACATATGGGAGGGTGAAAAATAAGAAAGAAAGTGGAAGATTTAACTAGTGAATGGTGCTTAGGGTCACTTCAAGCAAATTGAAGTCTTCTAAATTTACAAAAACCAATCACTTTTTACAGGTTAGTGATGATTCTTACAAAATAGTGACAAAAATACATCTTATTAATAACCGCCTGAGTTTTAAAAAAAAAAAAAAATTTAAGTTCTTTATTTAATAATTTCAGCGGATTTTTATAAAAAAAAACCACCTTTTATAAAATAGAGATGTCTTTATTGAATCTTCACAAAAATATATTGTTTATAAATTACACTTTTAAAATAAAATATTCACCTTTTACGAATCGAAAACATCGTTCATGGAATTTTTGACAAAATAAGTATTTTTCTTTAAATTAAACATTTTTTACAAAAAGCGTCCACCTTTTATAAATAATATAACCTTTTAAAAATATTAATAAAAGTATATAAAATGAATATTGAAGTCACCATAGCAAACACCCTATTGATTATTATGAACATAAAGACATTTTATATTTTTAATGTATCTAGTCAATATCACAAACCCAATTCATTTTCTATCACAGAATCTGGCATTTGAACATTTCAAAGAATATTTAATTATATAGAACAAAAAAATCTGCAATTATGCGGAAAAAACAAAAAAAAAATTTGAAAAGAATTTTTTTGGACAAGTATTCTTTCGTCGTATTTTTTGTACCTATTCCATTTGGATTAAAACTAATTTTTAGATTAATTAAATCAATTTTGTTCTTGATTAGAATGGGATCCAACTCAGCACCTTTCAGTTTAAAATTAATTTAATTCATTTTTAATATAAAAAATAATAGAATAACTAGAAAATAAATATTTAATTTTAATTTTCCTTATTATTTATTTTTTTGCCTAAAATAAAATAAATTAGTCAAAGTTCATATTTGAAACTAATCAGTAATCTCCATGCCGTGCTCCACAATCTATTATAACCGACAGCACAGAATTGATTGACTTATCAAAGATAATTGGTCAATGATCTAACGGTCATCATCAACCAGCAGTCGTGTTAGCTTACCTGAAGAGGGAAACCTGCACCAGATTCTGAGGCCACCACATAGCAGCAGGCTCCACCAAATACCGCCGGAAAACCCCAGCCCACCCGAATCCCAGCACCTGTGTCGTTATAACGACGAGAAACGCCACAAAAAAGGACAGCTCCTTCTTGTAGAAAATCTTGACGGCGCTAATGATATGAATGGCGTAGACGTTACCAGCTCCAGAATTGGCAAATATCGTGATCAGCACATGCTCTTTCACATTAAACGGTCCCGGATTAAACGAGAATTCCCACTTTGTTCCTTTGAAAAAAACCTTATCGGTTATTATAGAGGCCATGAGATGGCCGAGAGGAACTACCGCAATTTGGGCCGAGATGGAAGTGATACTAAGCGGTTCACGGCGGTACCAGAAGAACTGGTTGAGAAAGGAAAGGACGAGGCAAGCGAGAGTCCCCAGAGTCCATGTGCGAAACGTGACGGTTGGGAGAGTTGGATCGTCGTCGGTGGAAACCGTGAGAGCAACTTGCTCGATCGGAGAATTCTCTTTCTCATTGTTGTCGTCGGCGGCGGGATTGTAATTGGAGGTTCGCTTGGTGTTAACTGTGGTGTTTGGAGAAGTGGAAAGTTAGAGATAGGAGGAGAGAAAATTAGAAGGAAAGTAAGGGAAAGTTGCTTACTTAGAGGGGTTGTGATTTCGTGACTAGTACTAGTAGTAGCCGTCATCTCTCTACGTTTCAGGCGCTTCCCTCTCTGTGAATCTCTGGGAAAAAACGGATTTTTAAATTTTAATTAGAGCAACAGAGGAGAGGCTCAGGTGGAGGTGAACCATGGATCTTATGCAACCGATGATTCTTGATGCAGTTCTGACCGTCAGATTAGCCTAAAGAGGACCCTATGATTAGAATTAAACTATCATTTTTCTTGAATTAGATATTAGATTATAATAATTAGCACATGTGCGTGCGTCACAACTGATTTTTCTTCTTTTTGTTTTTTCTTTAGAATGGTGTCATTGCTTACTTGGATTTTCAAACTTTACAAGCCTATCACTGCGAGAATAATTTGCTAGGCCCGGTCTGAGGAACCATTTATTTTTTTGAGACGATAGTATTTTTAATTATTTACTAAGGAAAAAATAATGAATATAATTTTAAAAAATTTTTACTTATAGTGATTATTATGGATATGTCCGAATCTAGATAAATTTTCTACTCTGTTTCATAGTACTTATCACTTTAAGAAAATAGTTTGTTCCAAAATATTTATTACATTCGTGGCTTCAAAGAGTAATAAATATTTTTTTCAATATTTACTCTTTGCATATGACCAATAATTATTACTTCAATTTAATGATTTTTTTTTTTAATTTTAATATTAAATTAAGAGTAATATAGTCAATTTATTCAATAATTATAAAGGTAACATGTTATTATATTGGTGTGAAATATGATCCAGATAACAAGATCTATTTAATCTTGCGTTTAATAAAAAAGAACTTATTTGAGCCTTTGTCTTTGAGCCAAAAATTTTTTAAAAAAAAAAAACTTCAAATAAAATTGACAGGCTAATGTTGATATTTTTTTTATAAGTAAATGTAAAATTTAGAGGAAAAAAAATTAATTTTGAAAAAAATTTTAAGGTCAATATAAATATTTTTAAAATAGTAATTTAAGAAAAAAATTTTAAATTTCCAAAAACTTAAAAAACACAATGTCTCTTCCATTCAGTAATCCTTCATTTGGATGAGAGTACAGAGAGTATTTTTTTTTAAGCAAATATTTTTTTTCAAGCAAATATTTTTTTTCCTTGTTTAGAAAAGAGGAGAAAAATATCGAATGAATTAATATTTTACTTGTTTTTTACCGGATTCATATATTTATATCTCTCCATTTGGAGAAAAAAAATATTAAATAAAAGTGAGAGTTTCACTCTCTTTTTTTTAAATTATCCAAATACTCTAAATTAATCAACAAACTCTAACCCTTTCTTAATATTCCATTATTTAAGTATATAATTGTCAACTTTCAATAATAACGTTTCATTTCCTCTAAAATTTTACTCTGTCCAAACAAAGAAAAATAAATTTATTTTCTTTCAATCATTAAATCTAAACACAATCGTGAAAAATAATTATGAAAGAAAGTTGACAATTCCTTATTATTTTTCTCTATTATTTTCCTTCCTCACTTCATTTTTTCTTTTCCTTCAAGTAGAAATTATAAAAGAATTTCATCATTCTACCCAATTAATATTGCACAAAATTAAATTAAAATTTTAAAATAAATATGCTAATTAATAATTTATTAATAAAATAAACTTCTATTACTTACCAAAACTCCTAGAGCATCACATAAAAACTAAATTAATAAAAACAAAATTCTTTTCAACTATTTATCTATTTTCATATTTGATACAATAACCAAATTATCATTCATTTAATGAAAATAAATAAATGAATAATTGGAAAATGTGTAATTGTCTGAACCCATATGGCAGTAACAAATCCTAACCATTTTCCAGCAGGAGATAACAATAGACTCATGGTGAAAGAGAATTCGAAAGTGTTTTAAGTTTTGTGTTTGAGACTTTGAGCTTTGTAAGTTATATATTTATACTCTTTGTTTTACCTTCATTAATGTTTTTGAATTTATTTAATTATTAATTTATTGCTAAGAACAAGAACTTAAACAAGTGGTTTTAGAATTATAAGGAAAAAAAAAATATTATTTATATAATCTGACTTATCAAAATCCATACAAGAAAAAGAGAAGTGAAGTCTACATACCAAGTTCTGAATACAACTCCGAAACCCAGCATCAAATCAGGCGCCAACTGCCTGTCCTTTCCCCATAGCCGCCCACCACTTTCTGCAACTTCAAATGGGACAAAAGAATCCGTTAAATGGATTTTTTTTTTTTTTATATATACCAGACAAGTTGTAAAAAAAATGAGCGAAATCAAAAATCTTACCGCCAAATATGAGTTCACTTGAATTAGAATAGACTCTTTTCCTTATCATTTTTTGAAGAAATAACATTCATTATGCAGATTCAATCTACATTATCAATTACAGTTCATAAAAAAAAATTACAAGAATAACATATATTGCTCATATTGAGAAATCAATGAATACATTTACAATAAATATTTTATTTTATTGTTCTTAATTACAAATTTAAACAGAGTACACGCAGGCAAAAGAAACTGAACAATTGAAAATAAAATATTTTATAATACAAACAATTGTTTTACTATCTTAGAAGACAGGGCAACCTTTCACTACAACCCCAGGAGCAGTTGGGCAAGAAGCTAATGGACAACCATCTGAATCATTTCCCCACCAATCAAGAGTAACTTGTTGCATTCCTAAACACAAGTACAAAAATACTGCCATAAAAGCCAATCCAGCATCAAGACCTGCCGAGAAGACATAGTTGTGGCGTCTCCACCAATTATTATAGTATCTATAAGCAATAAAGCCTGAACAAAATCCAATAAGAATCCAAGTAACGTAGTTAACAGCAGTAGCTGGTGGCATCTGTAGCGTACCACCTAAGAGCACTGGCATAGAAATTAATTTGATCCAATGCTGGTTAGGAAAGGCCTTATGTGCTAGCCAAACTAGGATAGGTGCTATAGCACCAGCCAAGAAGAACCAGTTGATTGCAGAGTAATGGCCAAGACCTCCAAAAATTCTGCGGGGACCAATAAGACCCCAGATGACAGAAGCATCATAGAAAACATGATCACCTGGGCAAGTCCATGGACTTCCTGAGGGAAGCACTGCACGGTCACATATATTGGGGACGGTCTCCATTAGCCACCATGCTGTTAGTAGATGCACAATTGCTGCTATTATAGTACCAACCACCTGAGCAAAAAATGAAATACTTTTTAAAAATTGAAATAAATAATTATATGCTTTAGTCCCTGACTTTTTACTTTAAACAACATTGAATACTCGAACTTTCATATAAAACAATTTCATAAAGGGTGGGAATAAAAGTTATTTCACTTAAAATATGAGAACTAAAATTTTATGCAAGGACTATAATGTGTTGAAATTAGAAAGTCAAGCAACATTACTTAAGTATAAATATTGCTAAACCTCAAAGGGGTTTTAATCATTACTTTACCGAAACAATTATTTTATCTCCAAAACAGATGTGTGCATGCATAGTAATTGTTTTGCTATACAGAAACTCATCGAAAGGGAAAAAAAATAACTGGAAGGCTGATTTTACCTGTGCCATAAACATGGCCCGAGGAGGAATCTTCATGTAATGACCAAGCTTGAAATCTTGCAAAAAAGTAATCCCTTGTTTCATGCTGATGTAACCATAAACCTTGAAGCACATATTAGCAACAGGGAATCCAGGGTACAAATATCCAATAATATACTCTGTTATAACATTTAAGCCCGGTGTCTGTTTATCAAAGAAAAACTCGGTGTTACAATGCTAAAAACCTTCACAATAGCACAAGAAAAAATATGGCCTAGCTACACAAGATATTTTTTTAATGCACTTTTAAAATAATCATTTCTAGAAGGCCTAATGACTAAAAGTCTTAAAGAAAAAACAAAGCGTTTTGAAAATTGCCAAGACAGTTACCCTAAATTTCAAAAATTATTTACAATTTTATGTACTTGTTTGGTTAAAGTTAGAATTATATGTAATCATAACAGGTGTCATTTTTTTCAGCCATTCAAACTCAGGTTCAACTCTATCCAGCTTCTCGTCATTCTCTCATCAATTGCAAAACATAGAGTAAGTTCGACTCGAAAGTACGCAACAGTGACTAACTTCTAAAATTTCAAGTAAAATAGTCTATTTTGAAAGATTTGGATACAATTGTAATTTTTCGAGAAGGTTTGGAGTTTCTTTTGATGATTATAGGCCTTTCTAAAACGGCATAGAAATACGTATCTACCTGATTAGTTGTAGCAGTGATGATCCCAATAGGGAGGGTGAAAAAGAAAGCAAGACCGCAAGCTAGCAGGACACCCCACCACGGTAATTGGAGTTGATCATTGTAGTACTCGCATATAAATATAGTTGCAGCTATGTTGAAGAGAAGAATGCACAAAAACCACCATTCAGGAACTTGCTTATCACCATTCAATAGGGAGGGTGAAAAAGAAAGCAAGACCGCAAGCTAGCAGGACACCCCACCACGGTAATTGGAGTTGATCATTGTAGTACTCGCATATAAATATAGTTGCAGCTATGTTGAAGAGAAGAATGCACAAAAACCACCATTCAGGAACTTGCTTATATTTTCTCATGAGTCTTGTATGGACATCCATTTTCTTCTCTTGGAACGCAGACTTGCTTAGGTGCCATAAACTCCTACAACATTGAAAATTGGGAAACGTCAGGTACAGGCTATAGCACCTGTTTGGATAACTTATGCATGTAATTACAGAATGTGGAGTTAGATATACAGAAATTTAATAAATCTTTTAGTAGTTAAAACAAATTTTGAAAATGTGATTATAGAGAAGATTTGAAAGTGGAATTGCAGAAATTAAAAGTGTAGTTATAAAAAGTGAATAAATAGAAATAAAAAAATAAAATCGATTTGTAAATAGAAATTAATGTGAGCCTAACACGCTCTTAAAAAACAATAAAGAAATATCAGTGAGACCTTGATTTGAAGAACATAATCTTCTTGTGCGGTGTAAAACCATGAGCATGTATTTCTCTTGGCTTACCTTCCATGAAAGAGGAAGACATGAACAATAACGGCAGCCAGGGTAGCAAAATTCAAACCATAAATCATTGCAAAGTTGGTGCTGAGATACAGAGGACCTTCACGTTCATATGCATCTATGTCAATGTGGAATTTGGGGTCAATAATAGCTGAAATATTGTATTTTTGGCCATTAGAAGTGAATAAGCCATCAGAGAATATAGGAAAAGTCTTGGCTTTGTAGAAGTTATGCCAATATGAAATTGGGGTGATGACATACATAATTAGAGCAAACCCACAAGCTACATTGGCTGTTGCAAACCATGGAGTAGCCATTGGACTGCCAAGGTAAGAGGATATACTAGCCCAGTCAAATCCAATACTGCCAATTCCAAGACCATGTAGACCTG